GAAAAAATGTTTTACACCAGAAGAAGACTACTGTTTTTACAAACTTGAGTTTGTTTTCATGGTACTGTTTAGACAGTGCAAAGAATTCACTCCTTCCATAGAACCTTTTCACTTAATACAAAAGTAGGATATTCTGTAAAAGAACAGAAGAGATTGTATAAGGAAGCAATATGTCCACTATTTAGAAAGTTCTCCATCAACTGGAAGTTTTTTTTTTTAAGACTTACTTATTTATTCATAAGAGACACACAGAGAGAGAGAGAGAGAGAGAGAGAGAGAGAGACATGCAGAGGGAGAAGCGGACTCCATGCAGGGAGCCTGACGTGGGACTCGATCCCAGGTCTCCAAGATCACGCCCTGGGCTGAAGGCGGTGCTAAACCACTGAGCCATCCGGAAGTTGTTTTTTAAACATATTCCCTAGAGCTGAACTATCAAATAGAGTAGCCACTAGCTACATATCAGCTATCTAAATTGAAATTAAAACTAAATAAAATTTATTTTTCCAAGGTTTTATTTATTGATTTATTTTAGAGAAAGAGTGAGCACAGCAGGGGAAGGGGCAGAGAAGGAAGGAGAATCTGAAACAGACTCCATGGTGAGCACAGAGCAACAATGTGGGGCTCGATCCCACAACAGCAAGATCATGACCTGAGCCGAAACCAAGAGTCGAATGCTTGACCGACTGAGCTACCCAGGTGCTCCCAAAAGTAACTCCCAAAATTTAGAGTTCAGTTCATCAGTCACAGCAGCCGTATTTGAAGTGCTCAATAGCCACATGGGCTACCATATTGGATATTGTAGACCTAGAACTTTCCATCACACAGAAAGTTCAATGGGACAGTGCTGCTCTTGGGAGAAATCATGTATTTCACATCATATTTTCTAGTCCCCATCTCTACTCCACCACCACCCTCGCTTTGTTCTTCACTTGCCAAACGGAGTTCTTCTTGTCTCTCTCAGCCAGGAAGTAGGAAAGCCGCTGTTTACTCTTGGCTAAAGGTGATAGAAAGCTAAACTCCTAGATACTACAGAGGGAATTAGCCTTCATTAGCACATGTCTTCCTTTTTAGATCACTCACCAGGGAAAGATACATGCATTCCAATGCCTGGAACCATGAAGTGCCTTAATAGGACCCACTTTGGTGCAGTTACAAATCACTTAAGTTAATCCATTTCTCCTGAGCTTTCTAAATGGATAATTGCATTCATTCTTTTACAGTATTGGCCTGAGTTCTGAGTTTAGGTCTAGATGCCTTGCACCCTCCCTGGCCCACTCCTATTCCACCCCCAAACTAGAATAATTATATATTCTTGCTCTGCTCTGAGCTTCGGGAGAGCAAGGTGCATGTATTATTATTCATCTTTGTATCTCCAGCGCCTCGCCAGAGTTTGGCATGTGAAAAGCACTCAGTGAATGTTTGTTGAAGAAATTATCTAATCAATTACGTAATCAATCAAGATGTCTTCAGTTTTCCCAGTAGGACTTTCACTAATTATTCCTACAGAGATTTCATTCCCCAGCAGAGTGATTCTGAAGTCTGGCTACACATTAGAATCATTGGGGATCTCTTAGAACCTACCGATGCCAGGACCACGCTTCAGACCAGTACAACCCAAATCTCTGATACTAGGGTTTAGGCATCAGTAGTTTGCTGAAAGCTCCCCCAAAGAATTGCATTGTGCAGCCAGGGGTGAGACTCACCATAGGGTTCTGATTTGGCAGCCATAAATATATTTTCATCCTTTTTTACACGCTCACCCACATCTCATCTCATCCACTGTCACTTTTCCTGTAAGATTAACAGGAGTCTAGTCTTAATAGTTAATTTGTTCAATTATGGGACAAGTGTCCCCACTGCTCCAAACAGAGACTCTAGGAAGACAGACTCCCTGTGGAAGCTTTCTTTCAGTCTATTAATGAAGATTCAGGCTGGTACCATCTTCAAACGACATAAGAGACTCTCTTCTGTTAAATCCTCCCTGGAAGTGTACATTAGGAATAAATTTGATGTCATATTGAGTCTTGAAAAGCAGAATACAAACCTGCATGCATGCCATCATAATAAGTGTGAGAAATGTATCTATAAGGGGAAAAAGAAGACTTGAAGATAAATGAACAAAAACTCTAGTAGTAATTGTGGGTAAAGCAAGCTGGGGGTTGGGGGGGCCTGGGAAAGAGATTCCAGGTCCTGGCCATGAGACTCAGCGGGGAGGAGGTGCCCTGGTGGCAGGGTCTCCCCACTGGCTGGATGAAATGCACAGGGTGCTCCAGAAGCTTTCCCCCAACGGGAGGAAGGGGATCCAAGGAATGACTGAGCCAGAATCAAAACAGGAAGGTCACCAGCACGAGGTACGAGAGGTGTGGCCAGGAGGATGAGCAGGCAAGACTCTGGCCAGAAAGGAGATTCCAGGGAGAAGACAGGATCAAGAATGGACTGAGGGGTTCAGGACTAAAGCCAGAAAGTATGGGGAGGCCTTTTACATGCAGGTGCTCTATGTTTTCAAGCAGGGGTACTTTCTAAGGAGGGGCTTCCCACGAGTTTTTTTTTTTTCTCTTTTTTTTTTTCCCAAATGCCGTCTAATAGTAGTTTCCTAACATTAACAACTGTGTGCCTGCACCTTCCAAAAGTGTACCACAGGAAACAGAATGAGAAGATACGAGGAACTGCTATTTATTGAGCATCTACTGTGTGCCTAGCACCAAACAAGACCTCACACACATCTCAATCGGTCCTCTCCGGAAACCTGAGACAACGTTAACGTTATTGTCAGCACTTTAAAGATGAGAAGATGAGCTGACCAGCTTGTTGTCCAAGGATCACACAGAACACCGTGGCACAGCTAGGGTTCAATCCACATCTGTGTGACTCCAGAGAGATGCCTTTTCTCCCACACCCAGACCAGGCTTTGTCTGAATGGACGGAAATGGCCTGTCCCACCGCAGCACCACTCCTGACCCAAGGCCACTTCTTCCGTCACCAGGAAAGTGACGGACTCATACCAGTGCTGGTTAGCCTCACACATTTTCATTATATGGTGGGGGTTTTATGAGACTCTACCACAGGCTGTTTTTCAAATTTATTTAATTCATCCATCATGCTCTGAAGCCATTTGCTTTTTTATATTGGACAGATGTAATGAGATTTTGGACACTAAAAAATGTTTTTATTAAAAGTTATGACCCAGAGCTAGTTGGTAGGGGCTGTGCCATAAATCCCTAGAAGTGTGTGAATTTATAAAGGATGTAGAGACATAACCTTAACCTTTTAGGCCACACCATAGATTACAGGATCACTTAGGCTAATATTGCCTGCCCCCCACACCTCTGGCCAAATAGAACCATAATAACAGTAATTTATGTGGTTAACAGATGTGGTTGCTCTTCCTCTCCTCTTTGCCACAGTTGACTCCAGGAGAGCCAGGGTCTGGTGGAAGCAGGTGGTTGAAGACAGAAATGGTGGTGATGAGCCTGAAGGCCCTGCTGTGGTGGGTGTGGGCACATTGGTTCTCCTACTCTGCTCTGCAGCCCTAATACTAGGAAGCTCTCCTCAAAAGCAGGGAATGATGCAATTATTTCTATTCATGCATAATACTCCGCTTTAATGTCAATATTGTCAGATCTGTACTAATGTTGCAGTACTTCGAAATCATCCAAAAAATGATTAGCTTGTGCATATTGACCAAAACGTGACTAAAAAATATATAATAGACACCATATATATTATCTATAATATATATTATTCTTGTGAATTTGGTAATTAACATTTGTTTAGCAGAGTGCCAGGGTGTCCAGTGGTGAGCACAGTACAACAAAAGACTAAAAGGAAATTGTAATAGAGAAGTTTATTACTCACAGGTCCTGGAGGAGGTACGTAGCACACTTCAAGAGGTGACTCGGGGAAAGTCAAGGCAGGGTGCAGGCGGAGAAAGTATGCCAAGTATGGTAACTAAGGTGCGTACCTTTATTAGGGCCCACAAGTGAAGGGCTTTGGGGTCCCAGATTGGTCAGTTCACACCAAAAAGGGCAGGGTTTTGGTAAGCTCCACAGAGATCTTCTCTAAGGGGCAAGGTGGGAGAGACTACTAATCACAAGCCATTGGGAGAGTCATACTAGGAATTTACAATTACTTGTGACTCTGCTGTTTATCCAGGGTCTGCCTCATGGGAGAGACTGAGGTCAGTTCGAGGCCCCTGAAGTTAGCTGAGCCACGCAAAATGGATGCCAGTGCAGCAATATGGAGTAGTTTAGCGAAATCCTCAACAATTACAAACAATAAAATACAAAATTAACAAAACAATTAGTTTTGGTCAACTGCCAGCCACTTTTAAAACATGCATTTTTTCATATATTTTTGAGCACTGCTAGGTGCCAGATCCTCTACGAGCAGCCAAGATTCAGGAATAAATACAGCCTGGCTGTGCTTCTGGAAGGACAATGTAATCCGCACAGATGATGTGCTATTACTCTGATGATTTTCAGCTCAGAGGATCAAGGGGAGCTTCATGGAAGAGGTGGCCTTCCAGCTGGGTTTGAGGAATTTGGTACTTCAAACTTGCAGAGATGAGAAGAAGAGCCTTTCAAGCAGAGGGGACGGCATGCATAAGGGCACTCACAAAACTAGCTGTTCACAGACTACTCCAAAGAGCTAAGAGTTTGGCTAAAGCACATGATGGTATTTTTTCCTTTTAAAACTTTTCCTTTTCCTTGAGTGTAAATAAACATCATGCTCTTATCTGTTGCCAGCATTGAGGCTGGCTAGGTAATGCCTGGAATTGCAGGAAGATAGACTTTAAACCTACAAACTTACCACTGCTGGCTTTCCTCCTGGTCAGGCCCGTGTTTTCTCATCTACTTTTGCTGGGAACACACTGGCCACAGCTCCTGCCTGAGGAGACCGTGGGAGCAGAGAGCATAGACACTATCATCATTAAACTCATAAATCCATGCCATTTGTGTGTCACACTCTTCATCCTCATTCATCATCCCTTACACTTTCAGAACGGTCAACCATTTGAGGATTTTGAAGAACGGTTTGCTGCAGCCACCCCGGTAAGAATGAGAGGGCCCTATCTGATTAACTGTTTCAGGTCATGATCCCATCGTTCATTTCATGCTCATAAGTCGTGCCTTGTGGTTACAGAACAGAAACCTGCCGATGGACTTTGATGAGATTTTAGAGGCAACAAAGGTAAGGCCTCCAGGCTCTTGTTAAATGAGAGTCGTTCTGGTCATTCTCATGCATCCCATATTCTCCTCACCCAGCCTGCGTGAAGGGCAGCTGCCGGCTGTGCCCCAGTGGGGGCCTAGTGTAATATTCACAGGCAGATTATTGCTGAGCCCTGTGATGAGGTCAGAGAGTATGTGTGTATGAGAGATAGAAAGAGAGAGAGAGTGTGTGTGTGTTTGTATGTGTGTGTATTCCATTGAACAAATATATTTCAAGCTTCCAACATGTCCCAGGCATTCTGATAGATGCTAGATATTTAGTAAAATGGGAGGACACAGACTTTGTCCTCAAGGAGCTCACGTGTCACAGTGCAACATTGCACAGCATTGGGAAGATGAAGTAGGTTAGTCTAGTGTAGTGCACTAGAACCTAGTATACCAGGGGTTCAGGCACATAAGCAGGATGTGTTGAGTGCACCTAAGTGAATAAAAACCAGGCAAGGCTGCCATTGGGTGGGTATACCCTGGACTAGATGTACTGGTTGGTAACACAGGCCACCTCTGGCTAGAGGGTATTTGGAAAGTCTCTAGGACAGGGGTCCTCAACCTTGGCTGCAAATTAGAATCATCAGGATTCTTTTAAAGTCCCAGTTACGAGGCTGTACTTCAAACCATCTGATTCAGAATCTCTTAGGAGTGGGAACCAGGCAGCCATATTTCCCCCCAGGTACGCCCAGGGTTGAGAACCGCTGATCTAAGAGTATCATATAAGCTGTTCTGGACAGTGGGATGGGGCACATATTGAGTTAGGAAACACTTCCCAGAAAGAAAAAAAAAGTCCTCTAATTTCTGTCCTGAAGGATGAGTCGGAAAGGCAATTGGGAAAGGAATATATGTTCTCAGTAGAAGGAGGAACGTGTGCAAAGGCCCTGAGATGGCCCCTCCTGTTGTAACTCTGTAACTCCTGTTTCTCTTCTCCATTATGTTGCCCTGATTTTATCGATGGTCTGTCTTTCCATGAAATAGCCAGCCCAGGAGAGTAAGAGCAGGAACAGGCTCATACCCCCTCTTCTCAGTACAGCAGCTGATGCTCAATAGGGGCTCCATACTTTTCCTACACGAAGGAGCTCCTGATGCCAAAACATAAGGAGTGGGCTTGTGAGAATGTGTTTTGGGGGTCAGCCAAGGACAACTCAGACTTTATCAATGGCGCTTTCAGAATTTCTCTGCAGGAGGAGCTTAGGAGTCCACTTGCAGCCATCTAGTTGAAAGAAGGACCAGGGAACTAATCTCGAAACAGCAGTGGCACAACACTCTAAATATTACTCGAAAATCATCGCTTTTTCATATCAAAGAATGGCTGTGAAGGGGCTGGCCCAGGGGAGAGATTCAGGGCCTTCCTCCTCAACAACCAAGCTACCTTGATCCCCTTCACTGGACTGGGCAGCCTCCAGTATCCCCCTGGGAAATGCCCAGGGCCTGAAGAAGGTGGAATCTGCCATCGGCAGCCTCATTTCTACCAGATCTCTGCAGTGCTGGTAATGGAAAGGCGAATAGGCATCTTGAACTGACCTTCCAGTGGAGTTCTTCGGATGGATGTCTGTTTCGGCAGACCCTTTGGGAACCGTAGCTTCTGGTTAGAGAATATTGTGGCTATACTCCCACCATCTAGGGATGCTAAGTAGGGCTTGTGAAGGGATAGATAAACGAGGTGTTGCTTGGCCTGTGGGTCAAGCCCAGCTTCTTTTAGCCCACTGATCATGGGTAAGTCTTATCACCTCTCAGTCTCAGCTCATGTGCAAAAAGGACAGATAGACAGCTATGCCACCAGTGAGCTCAGGTAGCGTCAAAAATGATGATAGCGTATTGGAAAATGTATTGTAAACTATAAAATGTTCGACAAATGTGAATGGTTAGTTTTAATTCTCTCGAGGCCATTAAAATGATTAATTACAACAATATTATCAGATGGAACATGGTTTGTTAGGTTACAAATAAAAGGAGTATGGCAAACATGGTGGGGAGGGGTGTGAAAATAGATACTATTCCAGATTCTCAATCACATATGGTTATTAGAATTATTTTTAATTTTATGGCCTAAGAATCCCCCTTTTCTATAAAATTTAATTAACTCAAGTTTCTATTTAAACAGCAAATCCAATGGAATGAAATAACAATCTATGTTTTATGCCTCTGCATGTTTTTCTCGTTTAATCCTTGAGTGAAAATCATCTGGTAAGAGGAAAGTCTATATCTCAAGAATGAAGGTTATTTTAAAAGTTGTGCTTAAGGAGAAAATTAGCCAATAAATTATATTTATGATGTTAGTAAAAGTGTGCCATGAGTTCAACACATTTGAAATGTAAATTGTGTGACTTAATTATTAACTTCATTTTATTATTTTCCTACCACTGAAAATAGTTGTAGGCCATTTTAAAAGCATTGAGTCCCAATTGCAAGGAAGCCTAGAAGCTGCATGTTAATCAATTAAATAGAAGTATTCCTTATATGAATCTGGAAGAAAGCATAAGGATTGGTATAGTTTTCCCAAATGACATAAAATACTGTAAACATGGTAAAGACTCTTTGGCCGAGACAAGCCAGTATCTATAGAGTCCAGCCGGGTCTGGTCCCACTGTGACCTTACTCCTGTCCACTTTGCTGGTCTGCTTCCTGCTGCCCTCCACCCTCATGCTCATTACAAACTGCTTTTCTGCCCACCTGCTCAGACCTTCCAGGCCTCTTTCCTTTCTGCTCATGTACTTGCACCAGCCTGGATTGTCCTTCCTCTTCTTGTTTGCCTGACTGACTGCCTCATCTTCAGAATTCAGATCAGATCTCTTCCCTTTAGAAAACTCTCCTTAAGCTTCTTTGCCAAAAGCTGGCCAAGTCCCTTTCTCTGTTCTCCCACAGAGACCCCTGTTGCCATCTCTGCCACATTGCTTTGAAATCATCTACTTCTGTGGATCATCCCGCCAGACTGCAATCTCATCTTGGCATTTCTCACTATTCTGTTCACTGCACCTAGCACCCAAGAGGTGCCCAGCATGTATGGAAAAGGCATTGTGTAGTTGGGAAGGAAATTATTATGTGTATAGGGCCCTACTGTGTGCCCAGCGCTGTTACTTAGTCTGAAACCTTAAGGGGAAGAATTGAAAGTTCAATAAGCAAGCTAAACTTATTTCAGCAAAAAGAGCCTTTTGTGCCTTTTTAACAAGGCTTAGATGAACTTCAAAGAAATTCCTGTTATTAATATTGTCAATAAATCTGCAAAGGAAGTAGTATCATCTCTACCATGCAGGTGAGGGAACTATAGCTCCAAGGAGTTGCAGAGGTTGGAGGTGAATCCATTAACAGCTGGGGGACCTTTTCCAGTGCCCAGAGCCCACTCACTCTTCAGAAGGAGAGAATGATGTTTAGTTTTATGGTACTAAATTAGTTTTTTGATACTAAGTGTTCAGACTTAGAAGTGCCTGGATACTGCAGAATCCAGGTGCAGGGGGCCTGCGTGGCAGGCAGGCAGACTCTTCCAGTCCTTTCTATTGATTGATGTTTTTAGGTTCCCCCAATCACCAGTCTCCCTCTCTTCTCTGTCCCAGGGGTAACAGCTGCATCCTGGGCAGTAAGAAACTCAAGCTATGGAGCCAGAAAGGTCTGAAGAGATCTTTTAGCCTGTCCCCTGCATTTTACAGATGAGCTGAAAATGTTTTTTCCCCAGGGGGCAGGTTTTGCACAAAGCATATGATTATATACTTTAAGGCAGGCTGTTTGGTTCCTGCCCATAGACTTCCTACAGTCTCTGAAGCTGGAAGTGTATGCAGATTAATTTCTAAGTATATCTTGAAGGGTTTCTTCTGCTGCTATGGCTGGCCTTGCTCAGACACTCCTGTATGATGGATGGGAATATAGACGATACAGTGTCTGTAGTGATGGAGTTCCTAGCAGTGATTAATAGTGTAGATACTGGGCTGTTTTTGTTGCCCTTCCTGGTATTAAATGATATGTTTTCTTTTCTTCCAACTACATTTTTTATCCAAGGCTGGCATTTTCAGAGACTCTCATTTGACTGTATGCTCTTTATGGAGAAAATTCAAGTCCTGGCTTGTGTGACCTTGAGGTCTCCTCTGTAAGACTCAGTTGATTGATCTGTAGAAATGGGGATGATGAATTATACCTCTGAGGTTTGTGGTAGTGGGAGCATTTGCTGAGAAGTAGCCAAAAAGTCCTATCTCCTTATAGCTGGCACATAGAAGGCACTTTGTACATGTTGTGCACTCATAAAAGAAAAGTAGTGAGGGCATCACCTTCTTGCCTTTATGTCCTGGAGAAGAGAGACAGCACTGCACTTGATGGTGAATCAGAGTGAAGTGGTATGACAGGTTACGGGAGGTGGCTAAGCTGGAATCCCCTTAACTAAGCCCGGATAAACTGCCAGACACACTGAAGCAAGAATTGATTCCAGCTGCATCCCAGATGTTGTCTTTACGATCATGAAGTATGGTAATGGCCAGCTGGGCTTACTGTTTGTATAGTCATGATGATAAAGAAGCAAGGGTCCTCGTGTCACACCGTTTTAAAGCAGTGCCCAGTAGCATTGGCTTCCCTTGTGGTGACTTCATTATCTTTGTGTCTTTTCAGGCTGTGACCCAATTAGAACTTTTTGGGGATATGTCGACCCCTCCTGATATAACCTCTCCCCCCGTAAGTATGCACTGCAGCTCAACCCTCCCTCCCTCCCCTTCTCTTCTTCAGCTACACGGTGGTGAGAAGAAGGGCCTTGGGTAAAAGAGAGCTGGTGGCTTTCACCTCTGCCTCTTTCAAATTGTGTGATTTGGGAGAATTAACCAGCAATCTGAAACCTTGGTTTCCTCTGCTGCTTTTTAAAGGAATTATAAGGCTTCTGTTTTGAGAAGCAAGTGAAACCATGCATCAGCAATTAGGAGATACTTGGGTACTTGCTATTCTGTTGCTCAGTGGAGAAAGACATAACTGGGATGAGGTCCCTATCTGCTAGGAGCACACAGTCTAGCTGGGAACATGGGCCAGAAACTCAACAGGACTATAGACACGATGAGGCATTTGTCAGCACCTGCCCAGAGTCCACCCAGCCCAGTGTTCAGCCTAGGAAATGAGGTATCCTCCCTCTGCCTTGTCCTGTCTCCTGCCTTCTTTCCTTCCTCTCTCTCCCTCTCTCTTTTTGTCTTCTCCTCCCTTCTCCCCTGCCTCCTAGCTTCGCTGAGCTTCTCATGAAGCTTTGGATTCCCCACTCTAGTCTCAGCCAGGGTATATAGCCCATTGCTTGTCATTATTATAAGTCACTGATTGCAGGAGGATAAGAGATTACAGGGAACCCTAATTTAAAAATGAAAAGAAAAAAGAATTCAACCCTAAGCAAAATTGAATCCTGGTGCTTTGAGAACTGGTTGCATTCAAAGGCAACCCTATGAAAAAAAAATTAAAAAATTTAAAAAAGGCAATCCTATGGCCACAGCAAAGAACAGAACCCAGAAGCCCCCTCCAGGTCCTCTCCTGCCCCTTCCCCGGGAGCAGGAGGTGGGCAGAGAGCAATGAACCACAGCTGCACCAGCAGAAGCTGCTGGGAGAGGGCAGCTCCTCTGGGCTCTGCACAGTTGTGCATACCGAGGGATGGTGCCATGTGGTTTATTGGGGAGACGCACCTTACAGAGAAAAGGCTGTAATCTCAGCACAGAGGACAGATGGCACGAGACTACTGCCCACAGTTGCCGCCAGGGACACTAGACACAGCTGCCCTGCTCCCGACATCTGATGTCCACAGCAGACGTGACAGGGTACAGCAGCTCCTGTCTCCGGGGAAGCTGGGGCAGCTTGAACCAATTTCCTTTTCTCCTCCATCCCAGGGGTAAGAGCTGCATCTTGGGCATGTAGAAACTCAAGTTGTAGGGCCCGAAAGATCTGAAGAAATCTTCTAGCCTGTCCCCTGCATTTTACAGATGAGCAAACTGAGGCCTAGAGAGGGCACATGACTCCCCCTAAGATCACGTGGGGGAAACAGAACAGCCCCACTTATATTTAAAAGTGCTTAGCGCAGCAGCTCACGGCTGTTTCTGGCCCTGAACCCAAGTGCAGTCCAAATGGGTATTTAATAATCCCCAGAACAATGCCACTCCACCCGCAGGCTGCTGGTCTAAAAATGGCCCTGTCTAATTGCCGTGGTTTCAGGATTAATTGCTTGCCCCAGACTGTTCCAAGGGGAAAAGAAAAATAAGGATACAATGGCATCGCATAGACATACTTTATAGGAGAAAGGCTGCTGTAAATGGGTGTGAGCCTTTAAAAAACTGAATACTGACGCTTTTCTTTGAGTGCCCCCTCAGTATCCCTTCTGTCTGTTTGATTTGTCCCAGTACCTCTCACCTTCCCCACCAGTGCATGCAATGGACCTGTCTCGGGTTCCAGCAGAGGCTGGGTAATTTAGAGTTTGCTGCTCCTCAGGCTTCAGTTTTTTTATCATTTGAAAATATTTCCTTGTCTATGCACGTAGAGACTCAGACAGAATGTGGGAGGCACCAGGAGACAGGGGTCTCTGTTCTAGTCTCTGAGCTCTATTTGGTCATTTCGTCAGGCTGTTTATTTACTGTGTATTAAGTGACAAACCCTGAATTAGGTGCACAGTGGATCCTGAGTGGGTTCATGTCAGTTTAAGTTGACCCCCTCTAAAGGATGAAAGCTACATATTGTGGAATAATTCGATGGCCTGAAAAACACCCCCAAGGAGCAGGGGCTCAAACCAAAGAGTTGAGATTCTGGCCACTGTTTGCTGAGCACCTGCTAATGCGCCTCAGCATGGTACTAAGTGATTTAAATGCAGGATCTCTCTTCATTATCACAGCTGCTAAAAGGTAGGTCTCATTTGTCCTGTTTTATGGTCAGTGTATTCAACCAGCTTGTGGTCTGCATACCACATGTGTGGCCTGGACCATGGCTGGCTTCTCCAGTCCCTCCTGCCCCTGCTTCCTGCACCTACTGCCTCTCATCCTTGACGGCTCCTGAGCCCAGTTTCCCAGGGACCTCACACACCCTCAGCACCCCCTTTTCTCTCTAACAGACTCCTGCAACTCCAGGTGATGCCTTTATCCCGTCTTCATCTCAGACACTTCCGGCGAGTGCAGACATGTTTAGTTCTGTACCTTTCGGCACTGCTGCTGTACCCTCAGGTAAGCTGTCTTCGGCCCGCTTCCCTTCCTTCGGCTTCCACCTTTCAAGGAAGAGAAAGGGTTGATGTGAACCAGCTGTCAAATTATGCCCGAAGACTTGCGGAACCACCAGCCTCTCCTGTGACTCTTCAGATGACTTTGAGAGGCTGCCATTGGGAGGTGGGGGAGCATTTGCACACCTGTGGTAGGCTGTAGGCTGGAATTCAGTGAAGCCTTTCACCTGGAAAGGTCAAAATTCTAGGTTACTCAGTAGTAGACAGCTTCAGGGAGCCCAGTGCACATACAGCCGTGTAAATTAGTGCGAGTTCTCCTCGTGTGCATCCCAGCCAGAGGGAGGGAGGATGGCAGGTGGGGGGAAGTATGAACTCTCCACAGACCTCTTGGGATCAGATTGCCTCCTTTGGTAGAGATTTGAGAGTGGGGAGGCTCTCCATGCAAAGTGGGGTGCTGAGGGGACAGAGCCAAACTGCTAACAGTGAACTGGGAAGGTAATGGGGCTTTTAATGATTTTGAAAGTATTTGTTCTGTTTTCTAAGCATTCTTTTATATATATATATATATATATGAATATATAAGTATATATATACTGCTTTTACAATAGGTTGTGCATATATGTGTGCATATGTATATATAGTGACAGTATTGCAGGTGAGGTACAAATTGGCAGGATCTCCTTTCTTAACTTGTCTCCATGGCATCAGGCACTCCATGTAGCCAGACCGCTTGACTTGGCACAGGTCAGAGGTGGTGTTCCACTCTTTACATACATGAGAGCCTTAAAGACTGTTTTCTTTCTATGTATTTGAAATCTGTGGCTTCATCTTTCTATTTTATTCTTATATACAGCCAAAAGAACCTGAATATTTCCTTTTTTTAAGAAAATATTTTTATTTATTTGAGGGAGGGAGTGTGGACATGCAAGCAGGGGGCAGGAAGCAGAGGGGGAGAGGGAGAGAATCCTCAAGCAGACTCTACACCAAGCTGAGCATGGGCTCCAACAATGTGGGACTCGATCTCACAACACCAAGATCATGACCTGAGCCAAAATCAACAGCCCCCAACAGTTAACCAACTGAGCCACCCAGGAGCCCTGAGCCTGAATATTTTCAAATATACATTTCCTTGAGTTTTTCTCTATAAATAATTTTAGCTACGCAGAGTTAGAAGCAAATTCTTGCCACCGAATATGAACCTTGCTGTTATTCAAAATGAAGTAAAAATTCGTACTCTATTCTGAAATAGTTAAAATTATTCCCCATAAGCCCAGAGATCATTATGCACTTTCAGAAGCAACAGAGGTCGGTAGCCATTGGATCTTGCTAACACTTTAGAATCTGCAAGTAATGCAGACTTTTAATTGCTGAGCTTCCCAATCAAATCTGTTTTACCCATCTCTAAAATGGTACCGTGGTGATGGCTGGTTTTCCTTACCTAAAATGGATATTAAAATCTCCTCGGGAATAGTGTAATAGAATGCATCATTTAAAATAAGAGTAACAGTTTTCCATCTGAAATGTATCACCTTCCCGTGTTGAAACTACATGCTTTCCCCTCATTATCTGATCTATGAAGATGATGTGCTGAGACAGGTAATGGGAACGCTCAGCCCCAAACTTACCAACTTGCAGATGTGTTCATTCCACAAATATTCACTCCTCAGTGAATGAGCCAGGCCCTATTCTAGGTGCTTGGGGTGTGCCCGTGAACATGACAGATGCAGGTCCTGCCCTCATGGCATTTCCCTTTCTACTGTGGAGACAGGCAACAACATAAAAATAAGTAACATACCTAGTATGTCTGAAAATAGTAAGTGGTGTGGATAGAAGAAAGTCAAGGGGAGTGTAGGGGCTTTAGAGCAAGTGTAAATAAAGGTTATGGTCAGGAGGGGCTCATGCAGAGGTGAGGTGTGAGCAGACTATGTGAGGATGGAAGCCAGGAAGCTGTCTAGGAAGAATACTCTAGGCAAGTCTCCATCCTCCTTCTCCATAAGTGGGAGTGGGACAGGATGCAATCACACAGCTCCCTGCCCTAACATTTGCATAAAAGCACCCTGAGGACCTGGCCGAGCCACACACAGAACTACTCTGGACCTTCTCCTGAGCCTGTGTCAGATGAGGGCTTTGAAAACCTGGGTTTTAGTCTTGCTACTTGACTAGCCGTGTTGCAAACTACGGACAAGCCAGTTCACGTCTAGATTCGGGTTCTTCAGCTGCTCAAAAAAAAAAAAAATTGATTGATTACCTCCACAATTTCACTGTTTAGAATGTAAGTGTAAAATTAATTTCATTGAGCACATTTTGGTTCTCAAAGTGCCTGCTTCTATTCAGATATGCTGAGGAACAAAAGTAGATGTCAGTGGGTGGTCAACTATCAGCCTCTCTTCCTTGGAATGGCCCTAAGAAATCTCTGCAGATGCTGAGTCGCCATCTGCCCGTCCCCAGTTGTCCAACCAGTGACAGGGAGCCAGGGACACGAACCACGGCATGCAGTACAACAGATGGGCTACGGGTTGGGGTCCAGGGTGTGTGTGTGTGGTTTGCATCTGATGGGCTGGGTTCAAATCCTAGCTCATCTATTTATGTATGTTTTAGACTCCTGAGCCAATTACTTAACCTGCCAGAGCCAGAGTTTCTAAATCTTTATAAATGAGTAAAAAATAATACTTCCCTTGCAACAATATCATGAGAATTAAATGAGAAAACAAAGTGAAGCATCCTGAAAATTGCCGGCATACTGTGGATGCTTCAGTGAGCAAATGCAGCTCGTGTTGCTACTATTATGATTATTATGACTCTTATTTTTAAAGTAGAAGAAAATGTCTTGTCCTGCCTATATTTTTTCCCTTTAACCTTTTTGGAATATTTAGAAAAACATCCATGTAATAAAGTTTAGCTTTGGCCTCTTAACTGTACATGACAGAGCTGGCCTGAGGGCTTAGAGGATATACTGCATAGAAATACAGACCTGCCACTAGCCAACTGGGTAAAACTCAGCTAAATCTCCTCTGAGCCTCAAGGAGCTTATCTGTGAAATGGGGATGGTAACTCCACCATATAGCTGGTCGGACGATTGCCTGAGTTCATACACATAGTGGAACATTTAAAGTGGTGTTTGGTGGTGTTTCTATCGGTAAGCAGTCAACAGATGTTTGCTACCCTGTCTGTTAGGAGCCTGGCTCTGTTCCCCATACCCTGTGGTAGCTGCCTCAAGCCTTCCCCTCAGCCACCTACAGTATCTCAAACACAGAGTAAAGAGATACTGTATCAGCGACACAGAGGCTTGTTGCAAGGATCAATGTCACATAAATGTAAGCTCCATGAGGGAAAGGTTTTTGTTTTTCTTAATTATTGTGTTCTTTACTGGATCTCCAGAGACCAAAACAGTGCTTCACACTCAATAGGGATCTTTTTGAATGAATGAATAAATCAGTGAATGAATGAGATCATGTACATAAGCATTACCATACAAGTTCTGCATAAATGTCGGGAGAGTCCCTTAGTTTTCCATATTTTTCTCACATTTTAGGCTGCTTTTTAAATTCAAATAATGAGGTATCCCCAGGTGCAAGCATCTGGTTATAAATTGCAATTTTCGACACTCCTTAAAAATCTAACTGCAAGGCAGTAATGCAGGTGTTTCCTTTCACTTCACAGCAAGGAGATTTATGATTGATCTGAACTCCATGGCATAAACAGATGCTCCATGGCACCTCCTCCCTCCACCGTCGAACGTTAATGAGTAAATGTTACTAAGCAGTTAAGTGGCTGCAGTGGCAGCCACCAAGTGGCTCCCCCATGTCCGCTGCTACTGCAGCGCTGACACTGAGGTGTCCCATCAGGCGTGCATGATGCCATGTGGCCAGAGAACCTTAGCTCACAGGTCTGGGGGAAGCCCAGGCTACAGAGACCCCCACCCCCCAGAAAAACTAGTAAGACCTGCGAGTTCCCTAACATGATACCCAATTACCCTCTGCTGCTTTTTTTTTTTCTTTTGAATATTGTGCTTGGGTCTGAAGCAGATGGCACGAAGCCAGAGAGACATGCTAATAGCTCTCTCCAGAAAAGTGTGCACAGCCCATCTGTTGGTTCCTTGTGGGAAAAAAAAAAGACAGGGGAAAGAAAAACCTGCCACCAACAGTAGAATCATCAGCGATCACAGCACTTACAGATCTTCGAGTTTAATTGTACACTTGGAAAAATGCAGTGAAGGCATTTATTCCACTATGACTCATTCACCTTTATAGAGAGACTCTCTCCCATCTCAGGCATTTATGGAGCAGCTGATGTGTGCCCAAAACTGTGCCAAACACAGAGGAGAAGGAAAGGGAAAGTAAAATGTTCCTACTAGCAGGTGGTTTCTTGTCTAATGACGGAAGACAGAATAACTGGGCAGTTGCAACACAGTGTGACCAAGTGCCACCACAGAGATGACCCCTGGGGTCTGCAGAAGCCCAGAGGAGAACCAGTGGAGTGCAGAGGGCAGAAAAAGTGCCCAGCAGAGGTGCTGCTGAACTGGTTCTCAGAGAGTGCATAAGGAGTAGCCAGGTGAGGTAGGGGTGGCTGTCCAGGCAGGAGCACCAGCAGGGATGAGAGAGAGCCGGTGGACCTTTGTTTGCAGCTGCTGTAGGGAAAGGTGGGATGAAGAGGTAGGAAGGGGCCTGATCCCCGAAGGCTCCTAAGCCAAGCTAAGGCATCCGAACCTTATAGTCAAGACAGTGAAGCACTATATTGCCTCTTAGAGCAATCCTCCGGTGGCAACGAGGGGTGTGGAGTGGAAGCAAAGTGAAAGACAGCCTAGCCTGGCTGGAGGCTGAAATCTTCCATCCCCTTCCCAAAATGGGCATCAGGATTGAGGTCATTGAAAGATCTGTGTCTCCGCCCCATCAGATTTAGTGCCCCCTTTTTACGACAGATCTTTGTAATGTCTCCTTTAAATTCTTGAAATGAAATTCATAGATGATATAACTTATCTAATAGTTTTTTTTAAATATAATGCCTTCATTATAAGGAGGAAACTTTTTTTTTAAGATTTTATTTATTCATGAGAAACAGAGAGAGGCAGAGATCTAGGCAGTGGAAGAAGCAGGCTTCCTGCAGGGAGCCCGATGCAGGACTTGATCCCAGGACCCCGGGATCATGCCCTGGGCCAAAAGCAGACGCTCAACCGCTGAGCCACCCAGGTGGGGTGGCTTAAAAGGAGGAAGCTTTTAAAAGCTAATTTGTAATAAAAAGATACCTATTTCAATAAGGGAAATACCCAGGTATAGCTGCGCTAGAAGTCCTACTAAGTGGCCAGGTGTGTAGAACTATAAATAGAGTCTCTGCAAGTGCAGAGGGACACAGGAACGCCGTGTGGGTTCAAACACCAGGGAAAGTATTTCTGTCGGGAACCTCAACTTTCCCAAATGGTGAGCAACTCTTGACCGTGTTCCAAACAAGACAAAATACAGTCGGCCTACACAGCTGTTACCTTCCCAGAAAACTAAGTGCATTGAAACTATGCAAAGAAACTGAATTTCTAGGTAATACAATGTCCAGCCCATACTCAAATATTATCGCAGCCAGAACGTGGGGGAATTCTTTTTTATGCACGTTGGTCTCACACAGTATAGGATATCAAGTATCCAAGCTCTCTGCTTCTCAGGTGCACCTAGTGGCTCCCACTAGCAAGTTAACCTGACAACCAAAATATACCCCACAAGTTTCCTGATCATCCCCCCATCAAAGTAAATCAGAAAATATGAAAAACAGTTGTGGAATTCTTAATCTGTTAGTGGGCTCGAGTCACTGCCTTATTATGTGATGGGTGTGGTGAGAAGCGATGCAAGCAGGTCTCAGGTTTGAAATGCCAGCACCAACGTCTCGTCACCCCTCTGATTTCAGTGCAGTAGGGCTAAGCGATCACATAAGGATATGGTCTGTTTGCCTTGTCAACACCCCCTAGGAGCCTGTCACACTGCTGGATTCATCAGCAAGGAGCCTGTGTGTCCTGTCTCCTCCACCTTTCTGGAACCTCTTCTCACCTCACAAGGAAATGGCTGGACCTGGAATGTCTCCATTCCTTAGTCATCAGTTGAAGGGCAGGGGATCTGAGGCTGGAGCATGAGTGAGGCACTCTGCACATGGTTTCTCTGGGCTCCCCACAGTCATTGACATCACCCATGACATGATCAGAGCCACGGGGCCTGCCTGCCTTCCCTTTGGAAGTTGCTAGGATACCTTGCCCCCACTCCTCTCTCTTGGCCTCACTCCTGTACACCTGTAAACTCCTTCTGACAGCCATGAAAAGGCTGGTTTTGAGAGATCAGGCCAAACCAGCTTCTCCCTCCTCTCCTCTGCCTGGCCTGGGCATCTGTCTCCCAGGCTCAATGGCACATGTATATGTCCATGGGGCCCTCGGAGAAGGGCAGGGATCACTGGAAGCACGTGGGAATTTCTCTGGCCCTGTCCAACATTTGCTAAACCCTGGTGTACTTACTATCCAGATATCAGAAATTGGTCTTGGCTGTCTGGCTGGGGCAGTGTGATGTAGAGGGAAGAACACCACTAGCTGTGGGGACAAGTGACCTCAGTTCAGATCCTGATCCCACTTCATGCTGTCTCTGTGACCCTAAGCATGGACTTTCCCTCTCTGAACACCTATTTCCTTATCTCTAGAATGGGGATGAGAATACCTGCCCTGCAGGGATTCCGTGAGGATGTGAAGCACCTAATACTGTACCTAGAACATCATAGACATCGAATACATGGAAATTATTTGTGTTACTCTTGATACTGTGAAAAGTGTCACTTCTCCTTTTAAAATGGTTATATCTCACCTGAAAGGACTTAGTACAGCCAGCAATTAACAGGGTGACATATGTGAGTAGACCCTTGGGAGTTTTGGCGTCCCCAACCTATGCCACTGTACAAGGTGCTCCTGAGTAGACAGTCCCTAAAATCGGCATGATGACAATGCAGTAATAATGTGTTCTAATACCTGGAGCTACCACTTATTATATGGCTGCTATGTATCAAGCAAGGGATTAAGTACTTCCTAGGATTTCTCTGATTTAAATCCTACTAATTGCTAACATTTACTGAATGCATACTTGGTGTCAGGTGCAGTAGTCCATCTCAAAAACGTCATCTCCATTTATCTTTAAACCAAGCCCATGAGGCAGAGAGTATTTTTTGCCCATTTCACAGACGAGGAGAGAAAGCCCGAGAGAGCTTGTGGCACTCTCCCTAAACTCCGTAGATAAGAAGCAGCAGTCCAAATTTTAACCTAGACCTCAACATCCCCGATACTCTGATTCTTCTTCCCTCAGCACATGTTTTCCATGCTGAAAAGGAAGATCTTATAACCTGGCTTTCTAACCAAGAGCTTGAGGTTTAGAAAGTTTAAGTGTTTGGTCTAGCCAGAAGGGGAGGCAAGATTCAAACCCAAATGTACCCGATGTCTAGTACTCTACCTTTTCCACTGAGACACACCAGCTCCTGAGGCTGTGTGGAGTCGGAAACCTTTAATTATAGCAATATTATCATTATCTCCCAAACACCTGCCCGGCTTGCTCGCTCACTGCATTCTAGTTTTGCTTATGAGTCCCCTTCTTAGAGAGGTTTCTCCAGACCGTGGCTCTGGAAGGAACACTCCATTGAAAGCAGGAACTTTCATCTTACTCATCTTTGTGGCCCGGGTCTCTAGCACAGAGCCTGGAACGTAACAACTGCTCAGTATCTTTCTGCCAATCACCTGAATCCATGAATTATTCTTTCCCAGGGTACATGACTCATCTTTCTCACCCTTCCAGGTTATGTTGCAATGGGCGCCGTCCTCCCATCCTTCTGGGGCCAGCAGCCCCTCGTCCAACAGCAGATCGCCATGGGTGCTCAGCCACCAGTCGCTCAGGTGATGCCGGGGGCTCAGCCCATCGCATGGGGCCAGCCGGGTCTCTTCCCTGCCACTCAGCAGCCCTGGCCAACTGTAGCCGGGCAGTTTCCGCCAGCCGCCTTCATGCCCACACAAACTGTTATGCCTTTGCCAGCCGCCATGTTCCAAGGTCCCCTCACCCCCCTTGCAACTGTCCCAACCACGGGTGACTCCACCAGGTCAAGTCCACAGACCGAGAAGCCCAGACAGAAAATGGGGAAAGAAATGTTTAAGGATTTCCAGATGGCCCAGCCGCCACCCGTGCCCTCCCGCAAACCCGACCAACCCTCCCTCACCTGTACCTCAGAGGCCTTCTCCAGTTACTTCAACAAAGTCGGGGTGGCACAGGATACAGATGACTGTGATGACTTTGACATCTCCCAGTTGAATTTGACCCCTGTGACTTCTACCACACCATCAACCAACTCACGTGAGTGCCCTTCTTGGGAGACCTAACTCCAATGAGAGCGATGCCTTGTTTCTGGAGTCACAGAACTCATCTCAGTTCACATTCAGCAGGCTTCTTGGTTTATATGACTACTAATAATAATAGCTACCAGTTATGAGGTGCCAATTATACATATCTACCTCGTAACCATTGTTTTTATACTTTTATACTCATAACAATGCTTATTACAGGTTTTGTTAGACCTGTCTGACCAATAATGAGAGTGAGGTTCAAGGACAACGAGAGTGGTAGAATCAAATACATACCTGTTATTTTCCTACCGGTCACTCTGCTTCTAATGTTTTTGTTGATCTGCTCATCTATCCATCCATTCATTCATTATCCCTCCTTATGACACAGATTTTGGTACGGCTTGTTGAAATGGAAATGAATAGTGAATATGAATTTTAAAAGTCTGGGAAATAAGGACAAAAAATTGGAGTAGAAAACTAAAATCAAGAAAAAACTTACGGGAAAGAAAGAGCAGCCATAAGACCTCATCCAGCTGGTTTAGTTGAAGCCAGATTTTGGCTCAGGGCTTTGGGTCGTCAAAGAGAAAAAATGGTAGTGAAGCAGAAATCTCTAGACTGGGAACCTAGAGAGCAGATTTATCACTTCCTAGTTTTGTGCCTGTCGGCAAGTCATTTTTGTGAGCCTCAATTTCCTCATCTATCTTAGGCTAAGGGATATTACAAGGATCAGTGGTACATGTACTGAAACATTGTATACATCACAAATTTTAAGGTATTTTTGTCACCATTATGACTGCATATTGAACGGTTCTGTCAAATACCTGGACCAGAGTTCCAACCTTTGCTCTTCTATCACAAGCTGTGTCTTTGGCCATATGTGTGACTTTCTTAACCTCAGCTGTGTCATGGGTAAAATGCATTGAGTTGGCTTGGATGATGAGGAGTATACTTCCTTCTAGTTCAGGCACTCAGTGATTCTTTCCCAGATCACTTTTCTACTGTAAGCATCCAAAAAGCCATGACCATGCAGCCAATCAGAATCTAGATACACTTGAGCACACATATGCTCGGAAAGGTGTCTGGTAATTCAGCCCATGCCTTTGACAATTGATAGGGAAAAGAAAAAGTCTCATGGAACAATGAGTTTGGCGTTTTCATTACTGTCACAGATGATAGGGATCACTGCTTGGCCAATAGTGAGAATTGTCAAAAAATCTAATGTTAACACAATTAGGTGGTGTTATTTCAGCCAGGTTCAGAAGGCAGTTCTGAAAAGGAATGCCTTTTATGTGTATAAACAATCTACTTCTACTCAGGCCATGTGATCTCCATATGAGGGCATCTCTATTAGCTCCACGTCACAGGGTTTCAGTGAAGAATAATGCATAAAAAATGAAATGCTGGGGGAATGAGAGCCATGCATAAATAAGCAAGCATCTTTTGAAAGCAAGTGTCTCTCTTTCAATGGACTTGCATGCCAGCTATAAATAAAAGGGAAGTTTCAGTTCTTTGAGGACAGGACATATGTCCTAATCACCAGTCTACTTCTTCTAATGCTAACATAGCATCTAGCGTGTGGGAGACATTTGGAAAAAATCGTAGAGATTGAAATGAACAGAACAAAGGCCATTCAGCTGTGGTTGTGTTTTACAACTTGGGCTTTATTGATATTTGGGGCCAGATAATTCTTTGTTGTGGGATGTGTGTTGTGCTTATAGGATGATGAGCAGCATCCCTGCCTCCACCCACTAGATGCCAGAAATACATGTCCTGTCCCCCGAGTCTTTATAGTCAGAAATGACCCAAGAAAAAAAAGAAAAAGAAATGACCCAAGATACTGTGAAATGTCTCCTAGGATTTAAATTGCACCATTAAAGAACCACTCTTTTAGATTATTCAGGTATTCTAGAAGAGCCTTCTAAAGGCTAAGACACTTACATAAATGAACTTCTAATTATGCTTCCAAATGACTTCATCTGATAAGTAGGACTGGTACACCTCTCAGACTGGCACCTCAGCCTGTGTTCTCGGCCTCTAGTAAGAAATAAGCCACTTCAAACACAATTTGGAATCCAGTTACGCCAACATTTATTCATTAGCTGTTGGAAATCAGGGTGTTCTCACTTAAACCTGCTAGAACTAGTCTGTTCCATAATCATCTCATAAAAGACTTCCTTCTAAATTAAAAAAAATAATGTTTTATTGTAAAGAAAATTAGTAAAAACAGTCATTATATCCTTCTATCCATGAGCATCACCTTCAGAATGTTTTGAGTGGAGTTTTTTTGTCAGTTGGACCAAAAATCTACGTCAAATTGACATAGACCTCACAGCTGGCCCGACAGTGTAGACAGAGCTGTATTAAATCCCAGCACTCCTATTCTGTGGTGCTGGTGACCCTGAGAAAGTCCCTTCACCTTTCAGGGCTGCAGTTTCTTCATCAGGAAAGAAAAATAGGTCCCACACCACTTTGCAGTATGTGTTAGGGAACACAGTAAATACAAAATGCCTAGCACCGTGCCCAGCTTGCTGGCACACAGTAAATAGTGTTGTTATTCTAAATATAGATCCATCAGGGCAAAAGGTGCTCACCAAGTTTTATAATCACTCTCTGTCTGATAAGCAGCCAGATTTGGGAAATTCTGGGCAGTTATGGCAGGATGGGGGCCCTTATCAGTGGCACTGGAAATTTAGCTACTAAATTAAGCCACATCATCTCCTCACTTGGGGCCGAGCCAGTGACTGGCGTTTTCAATGCCAAATTAGAAATTATTGAAAAAAGAATAGCTTCAAATGGCACATTTGTTATAACCTCTGGAACAAATGAGAAGAGGAACTTGTGGGAAGGCCAGGACAGAAGATGTGTATCCTTATGGAGTGAGGGATAAAGTGCCAGTGGGGAAGTTGCCAGGAGCTCCCTCCCTTTTTCCCACATCACAGAGGCACTCTTCATCCAACACGAGTTTCTCACGTTATCTCCCATGTGCAGGGATACAAGGCCTGGTTCTACCAGTAACCAGCTATGTGGCCTTGAGCAATTTAGCAACTTCACTTCCCTTAGCTGTCCTGGGATAACCCCTACCTCAAAGAGGCACTATGAGGATTACAGATACTCGCTGTAAAGTTTCTGACAATGTCTGAAGTGTAGAAGGCACTTAATCGATGCACATCACTGTCCTCTGATCTATTTATTCTTACTAAAACACACACACAATGTTGAGAGAGAGAGAAGAAAGAAAAATTTGTCCAGTGGTTCTCACCTCAAGTGTGTAGAAACATGGAGCTTCCGAGTCAGTAGGTCTGGGGTGAGGTCCAAGACTGTGTTTGTGACAAGGTCCCGGATGTGGTAGTGTCCCTGATCCAAGTGCCATTCCTTGAGAACCACTGCCTGCCCCATCCGTGTGCACCTACTCTTTCCTGTTAGCTGTATGACAGGACAAGATAGATATGTACAGAGGAGATGCTCATATGTTTAACTGACCTGCCTCAGGATAGAAAGCAGAGTGCTGGACTTGACTTGAATATAGCCAGACCCCTGAGGTCTCTGTAGGATGTAAATGTTGGCAACCAGACACTTAACGATGTTCCTTCTTTGTGCGTGGTCCCGGTGTAGCTCCAACCCCAGCCCCTCGACAGAGCTCTCCATCCAAATCATCTGCATCCCATGCCAGCGATCCCACCACAGATGACATCTTCGAGGAGGGCTTTGAAAGTCCCAGCAAAAGCGAAGAGCAAGAAGCTGTAAGTGACCAGTTTGTTCTCTCTGGTTTTGCCTTTCCTAAAAATTAAAACGGCTGTATCTGAAATGGATAGTGGGCACGGAAACCTGCATAGAAAAGAATGCTGGCTCGGATTCCCAAGTTCTAAGTGGGGCGCTAGAGGGGCTTTCTTTTATGTCCTAATGAGCAGCTGAAAAATGTTGTCCTTTCGTGAGGTCGGTCCCACAAGTTCCCACGTTGGTGGGTGCGGCACCTCCCAACTGCAGTTGCTGCCTCCTTTAAAATAACTGATCATATGTATGCATGAAAATATGCCCTGCTGTCTTCTGCTTTCCATTGTTGAAAAGAAAAAAAAAGTGTTATCTTCTTGTGTTCTAGCCTGATGGATCACAGGCCTCATCCAACAGTGATCCATTTGGGGAGCCCAGTGGGGAGCCCAGTGGTGATAATATAAGTCCACAGGCCGGTAGCTAGATAGCACAGGTCTGGGTAGGTATCTGTTCTTTTTATATACTTCACCCTTAAGCTCTCTGCTTTCTCTTTGGCTTGCCTTTCATTTCTGAAGTCATATCCCCAATGTCTGCACCATCTCTCCTTGCCTGAGCATATCCCTGATGTTTGCACCATTTCCTTGCTCTTTATTCGCTATTGTGTTTTGCCTCATGGATGCATGACCTTTGACACATACTTCTAGTCAGGGGTAGGGGTGAGGAGTGGAGAATGGTCATATTCTTTTATTAAATAATGACATGCTCTGAGTGGATGGTGATGATGGAATGAGGCATGGTCACCATTACACAACACAGATTCAGTTTCAGAGAGCATCAACATTCAAGGATGGACACATTCTGCCCACCCTAATGATTATTTTCTCACTGCAGTGTGATCCAAAGGCTCCAATCTTTTAAGCGGAGTGTCGCTGCATTTGCCTACACTCCACAGATCTAAAGAGTTCACCAACCAAACATTCTGAGAAGCCAGACGAAGAAGCAGAACCAAGCAGTGCTTGAATGAGATAGAGAAAGAGAGAAGAACACAATAATAGCCCATTTTGTGTAGCCAAAAGGGACCCCCTCGCCCTTACTAATGTAAAAGTGAAATTCAAAGCTCAAAGACATGTAGTATTTGCTTGAGGCTCCGCTGCTTGCACCTGTGCTATGGCATATGGTTCACCACCGAACCACTTCAGATTCCATCAGCAGCTACTCTGAACAAAGTGTACTTACATTTACTAGAAGTGGCTTTTGGCACTTGAATTTCAATACATCTGATTTGATCAAAAGAAAGGGGAGCTGATGAAGCAAACCTTCTCAGGAGACAGAAATATACCTCGTTACCCAGACATGATTTCTGAGGTCACCCTTGACAAATGTGTTCAATTTTCAGATACTTTCCTAGTTTTCCATAAATGCGTAGGACTGCAAAGCTCTACCCACAGAGCTCCTTCTGTAGTCCTGAATGGGGTGGTCAGAACCATTAAAATGGTAAATAGTTTTCACCATCCCTAAATGGATTCTGAGGCTACCTCAAAACCCTTCTCAGTTCACATGGAAGTCATTTTGACAGTTAGTGAAAGCCAATACAGTGTTTGGAGAGTGTATTTTGTTAATAGATTTTATGATTAAAGGACTTAACATACTAAATATTTTGCCACATTTTTCTATCAGTACAGTAGCATATAATGACACATCATGCCATGCAAAGCCATGCAGTACACCTCTAAAAATTCAGTCTTGCAAAGCTATTTGGGAAGCTGGTGAATTAAAGGCAAAGTCAATGTTCCAGAAAAGAGAAGAGCTGGGAATTATGGGTGGATGCCTTGGAAAGATTCCCCAAGAGGTTTTCTACCCTGGTGTATGTTTTATTTCACGTGCTCAACCCTGTCTTGAAAAATTTGATGAATGAACTAGAGATGACAAGAGCCATTCATCAGTATAACAGCTAACATCATCCTAAAATTGAAGTTCTTCTAGAAAACAAAGATGACTTACACCATTTGCAGATCAGTGTATCAAACCCTCATCTTTATGAGCCTGTTCAGTTTGAGACAAACAAGCTGCACTGTTTCTTAGGGCTTCAGCCTATTCCATGTTTGATGCGTCATCCAGACCCCAGGCCATGACTGGTTGTAAATGGATGGAGCATGGGATATGATAGTAGGCAAAGCTCAGAATTTGGAACTTGAATTAAAATTCTAGCTCAGCTCCTTAGTAGCAGGAAATCTTGGGCAAGAACCATAATTTCTTTTGAGTTTTGGTTTCTTCATCTGCTAGAAGGGGCTTTATCATCCACTAGGTTAGCAGAGATAGTGTCTCAGTCTCTAGTGTGGAGACAGACACTTACCACTCAACTCAAAAATCAGCTTAAAGATCTAGGCTCTGGAGCGAAATTGAGTTTAGAATCTGGCTCTACCTATGTGACTCTAATGAGATTTCATAATAATTCTCTATCTTATTTTTGAAAATAAGGATAAAAATAGTGTCCTCCTCAAAGGGTTGTTGTTTGGATGAAATGAGGTGATGTATCTGGAGCTCTTAGCACAGTGTCTGACACCGAGAAAGCTCCCAATAGATGCTAGCTGTCATCACCACTGTCGTCATCGTACACGCTCGATAAATGTTCCCCAGTACCTTAGAGTGTATACATTTTGCCTTTATATTAAATAAATTATACCAAAAGGACCCAGGCCACTCGCTGGGAGGTTTTGCTATGTACTTCCTATCTTCAGATCATTAATTTTCAATATGCCTCAAAACAGTTTTGGAGAAAAAAAAATTAGGAAAAGAAAAATATAATATCTTAGCTTTCTGGCTTGCCCAGTCCCATAAATAGGATAATCCAGTGAGGGTCTCACAGGCCACCTGTCCATTCCAAAAAATGAGCACTCTTAGGTTGACATATATGTGTCATAATCAATAGCTCCCACCCCAAAAGGGCCGGACTATTATCTTCAGGGAAACAGTTTTCTCCTTCTGAACACTTCGTTTGGCAATATCACAATTGCCTGTTGAGAATCCTGTGCCAAGAGGCTGATGCCAGCCTTGCAGGCATATTCCCCCAAACCCCCCCCCATAAGGGAAGTCTAAATGAGCTTTTCTGGGCCCTTCCATCACTAGCAACCCAGGCCATATATGATCCTTCCACCTCTGTCACATTCACTCATCCACCCAACTAGAAATAAACTGACTGCAATTTCTAAGTGCCTTTCCAGACATTGGGAGAAGGGATACCATGCAGGGAAAGTCACATCCGTGGATCTGTTTTCCCGTTTGCCTTCATACAGTTGGGAAGCAGGAGTCTTGTCCTTCTTATCACCCTTGCATTTTATCCAGCTGCTTTTTATTAGAAATACCCACACAATTCTTAGCAGGTAGGGGGTGACATCTGTTGATAAGTGAAAGCCATATCACACCATAGTAAAAGGGGAACAAACGGACTCAGTCCTCACAGGTGGAAGCTTCAGAACCAATCTCAAACAGCATTTCTGTTTTAGCAATAAAGGGAAATCTCTTCAATTATTTCATTTTCTCCCCCTACCCTCCTGCCTGGGAGAATCACGTGTCTTTGAAAGCCTGGGTCAACAGGAGCAGAAAAAAGAACCAAAATAATATTGTAATGGCTGGTGTGGGAATGGCAGGTAATTTATACTTCACTGATGTGTTGCTGGAGCAATTTTAAGGGCGAAATGTTAGCTTTTGAGGAGATGAAAGAAAAATGAAAACATTTATTTGGTTAAATGGCTAAGTAAATAAACTGCCTATCAGACTTCCCCAGCTGTCAAGTCAAAGTAGCATCTGTAACAATGGGGAATTGTTGGGTCTGTCTCCCTTAGTAACAATAGATATTGCCATAAATAATAAGTCGCTGTCGTGTTTGTAATACGGACCTTCGTAGTGGGAACCCAAGATACATAAAATATTACCTGATGGATTTCTAGTGTTTGAAGGAAAAGAAAGCTGAACTTCAGGTGCTTTCGGAGGATGAATCTACAAAAACAAACAAACAAAATCTTTTTAAGAAGAAAGAAAAACACACAGAGTCAGAGACATAGGTCTGGATTATGGTTTTAAAGCAGGTGACCTTAGGCGAGCACGTAACTACCCCTTTATACCCTGGTCCCTCACGTGGATACATATGGATAATTAATTATAACAGCTCCCTCCCCAGGCTGTTCCATAAACAGAAACTATTAATATGAAAGTGCTTTTGTAAGCTTTGAAAGCAGAATACATGTATTTGCGGTTATTGTTACTCTTCTGTTTTTAAATAGAATGAAACAACAGAGCCTTAACCCAGAGAACCACAAAAAAAAAAAAAAAAAAAAAAAAAACCACAAAATCACCTGTCCATCTCTTGGACATAGCTTTCAGAGGCAAGTCCCACCCAGGATGTTGTGAATCATGCAGTCAGGAGATGAGAGGGGCCTGCTGAGGGCCGTGTCAGCCAGGAAGGAGAGGTAGGCTTGGTGCCCAGAAAAACTGAAAAGATGAAACCTGGAGAAGTTAAGACTGAAGGGAGATAGGAAGTGAGGATGAGGACATAACCTAGGACGACCCCCACATTTCTGTTTTGGGAATCTGGGTGGGGCGTGCCAGTCATGTGATGAGGAACATAGGATGGCATGCTTGAGCAGAGAGAGAGTGGGTGTACCTTGGAACTTGAGTTGTACTTGAGATGCTCATGAGACACCCAAGTAGAGATGCCAGAAGGCTGCTGGATTCAAGAATCTGGAGGTCAAAAGAGAAAACCAGACTGGGCAGGAAGATTTCCATATGGTTTTAAGCCACTAGAGTAGTGGGCACAAGTAGACTATGTTGATCATTTAGACCAGAGGTCAGCAAACTCTTTGTAGATACCTGTGCTTGTGGGCCAAGTCTCTTGTTGCAACTCAAATACTCTATCGTTAGAAAAAGACATCAGCAAAAGACAGCACATGAAGAAATCGATGTGGCTGAGTTCCAAAAATATTTTATTTAAAATACTGTATTAAATTAATTATTAAACAGAGCCATCAAAATTAGC